TTGATCCAGCAATACCACTCTTGGGGATATACCCAAAAGACTGTGACACAGGTTACTCCAGAGGCACCTACACACCCATGTTTATTGCGGCACTGTTCACAATAGCCAAGTTATGGACACAGCCAAGATGTCCCACCACTGACGAATGGATTAAGAAAATGTGGTATCTATACACAATGGAATTTTATGCAGCCATGAAGAAGAATGATATATTATCATTCGCTGGTAAATGGATGGAATTGGAGAACATCATTCTGAGTGAGGTTAGCCTGGCCCAAAAGACCAAAAATCATATGTGGACATTACATCATGGACTTTGAGCACATGATAAAAGCGAGAGCACACAGGGAGGGGTGAGGATAGGTAATACACCTAAAAAATTAGCTAGCATTTGTTGCCCTTAACGCAGAGAAACTAAAGCAGATACCTTAAAAGCAACTGAGGCCAATAGGAAAAGGGGACCAGGAACTAGAGAAAAGGTAGATCAAAAAAAACTAACCTAGATGGTAACACACACGCACAGGTAATTAATGTGAGTCAACTCCCTGTATAGCTATCCTTATCTCAACCAGCAAAACCCCTTGTTCCTTCCTATTATTGCTTATACTCTCTCTCCAACAAAATTAGAGATAAGGGCAAAATAGTTTCTGCTGGGTATTGAGGGAGTGGGGGGGAGAGGGTGGGGGCGGAGTGGGTGGTAAGGGAGGGGATGGGGGTGGGGGCAGGGGGGAGAAATGACCCAAGCCTTGTATGCATATATGAATAATAAAACAATAAAAAAAATAAAAATAAAAAATTTCCTAAGTGGGAAAGACGTATCAGGAAGAGAAATAGCTGAAACAAGTTAGCAAAATCATGAGAACTGTTAAATCAGGGACTAGGTAAACTAATTTTACTACCCCTTCTCTTCGTCTAGAATTTTCTACATTAAAAAAAAGAAGAAAAAAGAAACTGAGTATCACAGTGCCATCTGTATTCATATTTCTGGCTCTTACCTAAGTGGAATTTTCACAGCATAAAGACAAGGAAGGAAGCCACTATGTCTGTCATATTTTTCTACCTGAAAATTGCATCATAAAGTTTGTCTTACATTTTTATCTATCTCCAGAATAATTAATATTTTTAATTTTAAGGAAAATTTGGATATATAAAAATTGGGGAAAAAAAGGGCGAAAATATTTTCAAATCCCATCTTCTAAACAGAAATATGGTTTGCATCAAAGTTTTGATTTATATCCTTCAAATATTATTTCTAAGAAATAATACTGCTTTATAACTTTCATATCCTGATTCTTCCATTTAATATTCCAAAATAAACGCGCTCCCATATGATTACATATTTTGATACACATTTTTAATACTTGCATGGTGTTATAGACAATAGTTACACCACAATTTATTAAAGCATTCCTCTATACAAAATTAAATTTCAGACTTACTTTATTAGAGGTAAAAAGGGAAAGCAAGCTTTTTATAAAAGAAAATAATTCCTACTGTCACTACTTTAAAACATAGTAGAGATGGTTTTATTTCCTTATTGACATCATACATGTAGCTAATAAAATATTCACAGGAATCCAAAAATATATTGAAAACTTGACTTGGAATATATTGCAAGAAAACAATGTTTCCTCATAATTGGGAAGTGACTACTGAAACACTGTGAGGGTAAAAGAATTACTTTATGTGTGATTAGCTTGCCAGTTAACTGCAGTTTTTCAATTTTGATACTCAATTACAAAAAAAAAGGTTGGATTTTTATGTGAGATAATTACCATTAGTGAAAATAAATAGCATGGCAATGATTCATTGGAATTTAATTTCATATCACATTTTGGGACTCATTAAGACCAAAACAAACAAATTCTAGACATTATTTCAAGTAGAAATTCACTTTCTTAGATACAATACCCCATGGGGTAAACAAGAATCCATTTGTAACATTTTATTTTCATGTTAGAATATGATATCTAAAAAGTCACAACTACTTCTATGATGATAAAATGTAATGCTTCACTTATTTGAAGGCTCCATCTTCTTAGCTGCTTAGTTCCTAGTGACTTATCTCAGACACTGTTGTGAGGATTAATAAAGCTTTAAAAAAAAGCCAAAAAACAATTCTAACACTTTTCTGGTAGATACTGCCAGAAAAATGGGGGTTTGGAGTCAATGAGTAACAAGCATACCAACGGGTACCCTAGAATGTTCCAGGTGAGTTTAAAGACATTTAAGAAATGATCTTTAGGATATTATGAAAAAACCTTAAATACTTAAAGAAAAAAAATATATATATATATGATATTGCTGGACAAGTAGATGAGAGTTAAAATTGGAAGAGGACCTCATTTACTACTCTAATATTTTAGAGTTAATTAAAGAGGACATAGAAATTTACTGAGAGTGTGTATGCATATGCATGCCTGTATATGTGTGTGTATGTGTGTGTGTTTAGTACTGGGGATCAAATCTAGAGCCTTGAATATGATAGACAAGTGTTCTATCACTGAGCTATGTTCTTAGCCTCATACTGATTTTAAAAAACTAGGTAGTGTCATGATTGAAGCAGTTATAGGAAGAGAATATGCTAGTGGTATCTATCCTGGATTAGAATGGTACAAAAGAGAGACCAGTGCCCAGTGAAAACATAACTGTCCTGGTCCATGTGAACTCTCACATGGCAGATTTAAGTTTTCACCGCTAAAGTATATTGTTTATAGTTGTCATTGCAGTCTACTATCTATTCTCCCAGTTTTGGCTTGACTGAAAATGTTTGTGTTTCATACTTCACTTAGACTTGAAAGACATTTTCTGTTCATGTAGAACTTCTAGATAAACAATTATTTTCTTTCAACAGACAGAAGATAGATACCATTCTACTGAACCTGGTTCCTACTGTTACTACTGAGAAATGGCATCTGACACAACAGACCAGGTTCTCCTTGAAAATTCTGAGTACAAAACAAAAATTGAGTACAAACCTTTCAGTGTTTATACTCTCTTATCTATAATATATTTCAGTTTCTATGTTCCAGGTTAAATATAGATTATAGCACAAATTTTTATAAATAGTAAAATCTTTATAAAATATTTTCATGAGATCTTTTGTTTTACAATCTTGTTTTGCACAGCTATTTGCTGGTTATCTGATAGCAGAACATTCACAAACACTTATTAAACTTAAAAATAAATAAAATGTTCTCAATTTGCTCACCTCTTTTTTGATAAAAAGTATCTGCATTATATTATCTAACAAATATTAGAAAAATTAGAAAAAATACAATCTTTTCTTCAAGAGAAATATAATTTTCACAGCAAATACAAAAAGAAATGTTTTTTTGGAAACAGAAAGTTTTGAAGAGTTAATTGTCAAAAATTATGTTCAATAAAAACATTTACATGTTGGCACACTTTAAAAACTTGAGGACAAAGATTTTATGTGCTTTTAAATCCATCAGACAAAAATTTCATAGGCATTGAACATGTTACAAACTTTCAAAAGCAAATCTTTTAATTAGTTTATAAGAAAAAATAATTGACATCAGGGAAGATGGCAATTACTAGTGGATTTCAACAAAAACTCCTGAATTATTACCAGACAGAATTGAGAAAATATGACTCAGTAAACAACCAATTTTACATTTCTTTCACTTGGGTGTATATATCTTTATGAGGTATTTTTCCAACTATGATGGTTATTAAAGCCAAATAAATAACTGTACACAATTCTATTATTACTGTATAAAATTTTATATAGTGTGTTTCACCCATGAAACTGAGTTATTTACAAGTGGAGACTTTGCCTTCTTCATATTTGTATTCCTCCAACTTTGTCTACATGGCACATATCAAATAATGATACAATGAATGTGATTTGTTAATGTGATCAGAAGTACAAGCAAAGTATGTTTCTACCTCTGTATCTTTGGGGGATTGGATCCATAACCTCTGTAGACACCATTCAAGTCTCTTATATAAAAGAGTTTAATATTTATGTATGATTTATACACATCTTCTCATATTCTTTAAATCATCTCTAGATTATTAATAATACCTAGCCAATGCAAATAGCTGTTATGTGTGTTTAGGGAAGAAAAATAAGTGTGCTCAGTACAGAGGCATTTCTGTCCTGAATAATTTTGATCAGGATTTGTGGAATCCAGGGATGTGGAATGAACAGATATGGAGGGGCAACTGCATACCTAAATGGAGAATATATATATATATATATAACATTCATATACATAAATATAAATATATGCATATATAGTGTGTGATGTCTGATTAGGTAAACAAAATAAGTAAATAAAATGAGCTTAGTTTCAAATCACAATGCTCATAAATCCTTTTATGGCTCAAGTTATAATTTACCTACATTATGACTCTCCTAATTAGGATTTTTTTAAATGAGGATCCCATGCTCACTTTATACAATCTGTGACTCATTACTTCGAATAAAAAAACTATCCATAAGACAATGGATAACTGACCCAGCCATAAACAAAACTGTAGGAATATTAAAAATTAGACTTTCAAAATAAACAATGCAAAGTAAAAATCAAATAACAGCATTTTTTAAGACTTGGTTTATATTCGCTAATATTGTTCGAAGAGAAAATTAAATAGAATATATGCTGTTCTCAAAAGATTAGGATTCATATAATATATATGTTTGCTGATATAACATGTATGACTGCTAATGACCAAAGAATATCAATATTCAGAGAAAATACATTATAAAATTAAGATATTAAGATTTAAGCTGAATTTTATAATATCTACCAATCTTCTGTGCCCAAATCTTTCTTCCTTATTGCCAGGCCTATAGTTAACTTAATTATGTAAGTTTGTTATGTAAAACTGTATCTACCAAATGTTATGTACCAATTGTACTCTAGTAGGCCTCAATGTAGAAGAAAAAGTAGCTATAATACTAATAGAGCAACAAAAAGATAAATTAGCAAAGTTAAATTTAGACACTAAACTATTTCAATAATACCTACCTCCTAGTAATGCCATTAGCCAGACATTTATGGCCACAGGATTTGGAGGACAAGGGTGATGAAGTTGGAGACAAGTTCAGAGGGGCAATCAAACTATTGATGATCTCAGTCAACTGTGCACTCTGCAAGAAAACAGCCAACCTTTCAGTACTGCAAAGCAAGAAATGTGAGTTAATCGACCTATAACTCTTATTGGTCTATAGTGCCTATAGTGTCTTCTCATGAAACATGTAAGCGACAATATTTTAGTAATTATTTTAATATGAAAAAATGACTTATACCACACTGATTTTTCCATTTATTACAAACAAATCTACATTTTAAAGTATCTACCGTTTACCTTGTCCTTTTTCATTACAATTCCTTTACCAGTTCCATCCTCTAAAACACTGAAAACATCTAATAACATCTACATACTTCCCTTGAGACAACCAAAGTAATAATAAAAAAACCCACAGCTATAATTTATAAAGTGCCTACTATGTGCCAGATCACTACATTAGGCACCATAGAGTACTGGTAATCTTTGCAACTAAGTAAGTAATATTAGAACTAGCTACTGGTATCACTACCAACACCATACCAACTACAGATGAGGAAATTACAGCAAAGAAAGAAAGATTAAGTAGCATGAATAAGGTAAGAAATAGATCAAGGTTTCAAATGCAGACCTAAATCCAATATGCACTATTTCTCATCTTTTTCCCAATTCGAAAATATCAGGTTTTTTATTTTTAATTTTTAGCTAGAATGAATCCATGTGGGAAAGATTTTGGGTTTTTTGTTTATTTATTTGGGTTTTGGCATCCAAGATATTCACTGACTCTTATCTCAAGCTTTAATATATGTAATAAATATTAAATTATTCTCAAAATAATCACTTATAATGTTATTATAAATGAAGGCCACATAAATGGAAATAGCATATTTGTACAAAAGAATAACTAACTATTTTTTATTTTTTGAGACAGGGTCTCACTACGTAGCCCTTACTGGTCCCAAACTCATGATGTTCCTGCCTCTCCAAGTGCTGGGATTATAGCTGTGGACCACCAAACCGGCAAGAATAACTATTTTCATTACATGTGCAATCTATGTTCATTGCAGAAAAATCAGAAATACAGAGAGGCATGAAGGATGAAAAGACTATCAACATACTTCACAAAGTAAACTATTGCTAGCTTCTTGGTATATGTCTCCCTCACTAGACTGTTTCCAGAATATATGTGAATATGAGTGTAAGCACAATATACATGTATCCACATTTTTAATAAAATCATAATATCAATTTTCAAAACCTGGTTTTCTCACTTAATATAATGTGACTATCTTTGAAAATTATATATAGACCTGTTTTGCCATTTTCATTTACTAAGATACTCTATTATAAATTTCTATTAAATAATTATTTTGAAACTTTATTTGTGTGAAACTAATAATATGCTACTAGAAATAATAAAACTAAAGATATGACAGAATTAAATACATTTGGCTCCTTTAAAAAGTTGTTCATAAGAAAAATCCTGAAATGTTTTCACCATTTTCTTCAGAGACAGTATGTACATAATGTCTTCATTTTTTAAGCTTTAAGGATTTTTTTAGATTAAAGATTTTTTGTTTTGGGGATTTGAACTCAGGATGTTTTACTTGCTAGGTAGGTACTCTAATATTTTGAACATGGCCAGTCAGATTTTTCAGATAGGGTCACACTTTTGCCCCAACCAGCCAGCGGTACAATCCATGACTTCCATATAGCTGAGATCTCACGCATGTGCCACCACACCTGGCTCATTTGCTGAGATTAGGTCTTGATAACTTTTTGCAGGGGCTGACCTCAAACCACAATCCTCCTAATCTGTGAGCCCAGCACCTGACTAAATTAAACCTCATTTTCTATATTATTAATACAAATACATTGTTTACTTAGCAAATATTCATTAGATTAGTCACGTAATTAAATTTAGGGAGTAACTCAAACTTTCCAATCTGAAACACAGAAGCACTCTATTTATTGTTTCACCTTCAAAAGTATCATAAAAATCTTTTAAGCCTTTAGAAGTTGCTGGTCAGATGTGTGTGTGTGTGTGTGTGTGTACGAATAATTAACCCAAAAGGACAGCACTTAAATTCCTGGCATTATCATAACAATTGGCCTACTTTGGCCCAGTTTCATCTGCCTGAATCCATATGTAGGACTGGAGATTGAAAGTAAAAAGTGAGAATAAGAAAAGTAAAATTAGGAAAGGTATAATTTGAACTCTGAAAACAAATACTAATCAACTGTAAGTCAGACACTTAATAGCTATTATAACAAGGTTTCTACTGTAAAAACATCAGTAGTAAAATTTATTTTAAATCACCCAAAGTACTAAAAATAAGGCACCTTTTAATTTATAAATGAATTATCTAACAGTGAAAATGTTAATACAATGAGTTAGTAAGTTTCTTTAAAAAATTATTTCAGTCTACAACTCAACATTGCCTTTTTATTTTAACTGCCAACTCTAGGAAAATTACTTTAATCAAGTCAAAATATTATCAATGGACAGTTGATAATATATAATCTTAAGAAAAATATGCATAATATCAGGCTTGCTACCTCTACCACTTAATTCACTCCTATACTTCCTTAAAAGGCATTATAAAACAACTTGATTTAAAAAGTGGCCTCTAAAGCATTATTATTGCATGTTTTAAGAGCATCTAGCCCCCACAGGCCACTTATTAATGACCTCTACAAGTGACTACTGCTGCCCTTTCTGCATCTTTTCCTCTGTTCTCCCTATGTCAAGCCATTACTGTTGCTCTCACAACTCTTGGCTCTCTTCACTACCAAAGTTTTTAAAACTTCTATCAGTGAGACCTAAAAATGCACATGCCCCCACCAAGGTCAGATTCATGGGAATGTAACCTGTGTAATTACATAGGGTTAGGCTCAGAAGGGTTCTATGCTTGTTTAACATTCTGTTGTTATCATCTTTAAATTCTTAATAATTTCTTTAACAGTAGATTCTGCAATTTCATTTTGCATGAGGCTTCACAATTAGCCAGTTCTGATGTTACCTCAGGTTCAACCAAATGAGTTAATGATATTAAGGAGAGAGAAAAAGTACCAAAAAAATTTCTTTTTTTTTTTTGTTTGTTTGTTTTTGAGATAGGGCCTCTCTATCTACCCCAGGCTAGCCTGGAATTTGCTATGTATCTCAGTGGTGAAAGTAAATCAGACTGAGAAAGCAAATGAATTATTACAGAATGTGAACAACTAGGGTCAAACTGAAAGGAATCAAAGGGATGAGAGAAGAGAAAGAAAGGGAGAAGTGAGAATACAAAACTAACCAACACTAATTTATAATATTGCTAACACGGTAGAGTGCATTCCAGTTTAACATCAGATAATTACCAAATAACATTTTAAATTATAAAATATTCACAAAAGTGTTTTGATTATATATTTCAACTGGGGAAAACTCCAGGCAATCGTTAACCTAACCAATATGGCGTGGTTAATTTATACTGTATTCTAATTTACCAGAAACCAAGTACTAAAGTATTTCACAGAGTATGTTAAAAATACCCAGGAGAATTAAAAATAGGTGGGCATGAAATCTACCAGGTAACAGTGTAATTCTGAAGCTGTGGTCTTACCTTGTTGTGATGAAATAATTAAACCTCTGAAGTCATTCATAATAGGATTTAGATACCAGAAAAGGATCTGGAATCAAAGTAATTTGTTGGGGGCTTCTTTGGCTTCCTGCTTACACAATGACTTTTTAAATAAAGAAACCAGTATTCTATTATCTTTCACTAAAAATCTCCATCAATAAATTAGTTAAACTATCCTGATTTATTAGCCACTTTTAATAAAAATCACTATTCCTTTTCCCTGAGAAAAGCACAATGATGAACAATTTAAAGAAAAAAGGATTTTCCAACTCTGTTGTAAATTATCACCTTGTGGCTATGTACCAATACTTTACGTGTTAATTTATCACTTCTCGGCCTTTTGGCTAAGATCAAGTGTACATATTAACTTAAATAATTTTAATTATATTTTATATAATAGAGGTAAGTCATATATTTAATATTTTAATTAGAATGTTAGTTAACTGTAAATATCTATATCTCAAGAATTCACAGATATAATGATGTTTATTTGAATAGTGTGTTAGCCTTTTGTTGTTATGTCAAAATACCTGAGAAAACAACTTCAAGAGGAAGGAGCCATTCTGGCTCCTGGTTTCAGAAATTGCACTCCATGATTGGGTTGCTCCATTGTTTTAGGCATGAGGTAAGGTAGAATATCATGTTGGCAAGAGGGTATAGCAGAGCAAAGTTATTCACCACAGGTAGCCAGGAAGCAGAGAGAAAGCAGAGGCCAAGGACAAGACATACCCTGCAAAGACATGCCCCCAGGATCCCACTTCCTCCAACCAGGCCTTAGCATCTAGTTTCCACCAAATTATGAATCATCAAAGTCTTAATAAACTGATTTAGATGATCATGGTCCAATCACATCTCAATGATTGGATCCACCAGTTGGGGACCAAATCTTCAAGGCAAGAGCCTTTTTGCAGGATACTTCCTATCCAAACAGTAACAAATACTTTATAAAATTGATAATAGTTTGCTAGAAATATGGCTCAAGTGATAGAGAATTTGCCTAGCAAGAGCAGGGTATTAAGTTCAAACTGCAGTACCACCAAAATAAAAAAAGGATGAAAAGTCGTTTCATGCTATAGAAGATGTACTCTGACTTTACCTGTTTTTCTATGTTACGAAGAAGTAGTGTAGGGCTGCTTGGTGACATCTCAAAGTCTTGTTCTGGTAAAGAATCTTGACTCCCCTGAGGAACCTGAGGATTTTCTGTAGTGTTTAACAAAGCTGCTTGGTCTGTGAATTCTATTTGTTTTTGCAAAAGGTCTTTTGGAAGGTGACATTCTTCTAGGATCACTATCCCCTAGACAAACAGCAATGAAAGAATTGGAATGAAAACAAATTGATTGCTAAGTTACCTTTAATGGTACAGTGCACATGAAACTGTATCCTCTTATACCTTGGGAGTCATAAAACATAACTGAAAATACAGTTTAAGTCTCTAAAAAACTGGCTGATTTAAAACATGTGGCTAATATAATATATATGGCTTATGGGTTGGGCTTATAAAACACCATAGTAACATATATATGCAGATTTTGTTCTTTTTATTAGTTTTAAATATTAACATTAAAAAGTTTGATGTACTTATAATAAAATTAAAGGCTTATTATACTCAGAATAAGGACATTTCAGACTGAAATTAAGAATGTTTCCTGATACAATCTTCTGATTTTTGGTCATTATCATTTCTATTTGAGCAACGAACTTAAAATACCAAACTTACAAACATCCAAACAATGATGTGACCCTATACTAATTCCTTTCAGAGCACCCTAATGAACCCTGCCCATATTGCTGCTAGTCAGCGCCCATGTGTGAGAATGTATCACTGAGAAAAAGTACTCTCTAGGCAGAGCTGCTTACATGGTGATTGTGCTAATAATAACAGATTTTTTACTTTGATGGGGTCTTTTCTGAAGTGTAAGGAACTGAAGGAATGAGCAGGGATCAAGATGCCTCCATCCTCCCTATCTCCTACTCTTACATACTTATTCCACAACTGGTTTGCTCAACTTTCTGCCACGTTTTTCACCTTCCTCCCTCCAACTGATCTCAACCTTAAGCTCCTCAAAGACAATGGAGACAGGAAAGAAAGGGGGGAAAAGGAGTGCACAGACATGATCTTAATGGTTTCATAGTCACTTCTCATGATAAAGCTTCCTCTCTTCCAAGCCGTTCTATAATCCTTGCCCCTTCAAACCATATGCACAGAGTGCACATTCAAAAAGCTGATAAGCTCCTATAGGCCACCTTAAAAATTTGGCTAAAATAAACTCTTATAATGAAAAATAGCTAAAAACATTACTATAAGCGTACATTATTTAGAGATTGGAACTAATTAAATTAGTACTATGGGCCAGGCTATATCATGTACTAAGTTTTATTTATAAGATGGAAACTGCCTATAGATAATAATGGCTATATATGAGTTTTAATTTATAGTATATAATTTAGAATATATACCTTTAGAATGGACATATTCAGGTATAGTATTAACCATATATAATACTATATTAAACATATAGTAATTTAATACTATCGATTTCTTAAGTATAATAAATGCTTTTGTTTTTAAATTTACATTTAGAATAATGCTAGCATGCTGACTTTTCCAAAGGAAAGCAGATCCGATTGCTGATCCCAATGACCGTTTTCTTAGAATACACAAAAATGGCCATCAAGAAGTCTGAAGAAGTCTGGCATGGTAGCACCTGCCACCCAGCTACTGTTTAATCTGAGGCAGGAGGATTACAAATTCAAAGCCAGCTTGAGGTACATAGATAGTTCCAGCCCTTCACAGGGGCTACATAGTGAGACCCTAGGTGAAAAAAAAAAAAAAAACCCAAACTGCAAAGCAGGGCATGGGTGCCCATATGTATAATCTCAGCAATAGAGAGGCTGAGGCCAGCCCAGGGTATAGAGCAAGACCAAACAAACAAGTGCAAAAAGAGCAAGGCTGGAGGTATTACAATACTGGGCTTCAAGTTATATGATAAAGCCAAAGTAAAAAAAAAAAACAAAACCATGGTATTGGACAAAAACACAAAGACCCACACAGCTACAGCCATGTGATTTTTGACAAAGGGACCAAAAACATACATTGAAGAAAAGACAGCCTCTTCAACAAATGATGCTGGGAAAACTGGTTTGTATTTGTATAAGCCTGAAACTAGACCCTTCTCTCTCACCCTACATAAAAGTCAATTCAAAACAGATCAAAGATCTTAATATAAGATATGAAACTACTATGGGAAAACACTGGAAGATATGGGCATAGGAAATTATTTTCTGAATAGGACTCTAATTGCATAGGAATTAGAGCTAAGAGCAAGATCAGACAAATGGGATTGCATCAAATTTAAAAGCTGCATATCAAAAGAAACAAGTTACCATAAACAAGAAGCATCCCACAGAATGGGAGAAAATCTTTGCCAGCTACTCAACTGATAAAGGATTAATATCCAGAATATACAATGAGCTCATAAAATCACACAGCAAAAGAATAATCCAATTAATAATGTCAACATTGCACCCCTTAAATAAAACTATCAAAGAGAGACTATCTGATGATCTCCATAGGATTAAGAAATTACTGCAACAGAAGGTTCCTGAAAGACAGTGTAAACAACAAGAAAAAGTAAGTGCAATAATTTAATATGAAATTTCCATCAGGAAACTTCTTGAATACAGCTCCTCAAATCTAACAGACACATATGCATAAAGTCTGATGTATGCTCTTTCATCTACCTTCCTACAAACACAACCGCCAAATCCTACAAGGCATTAAATAATATTCAACACTTTTCTAGCTTTCCTCTCCCATTCTTGTACCACTCACACTTTCTGCTCCATTGAATACAGTAATACTTTTTGTCATTTCTGATCTTGCTGTTTCATGTCTCTAAACCTTTTTGGAGCATGCCCTTTCCTATTATCAGTTCATCAAGAAAATTACCATTTATCCTTCAAAGTCATACTGAGATATCAATTCTTATTCTGTTTTTTTGTTTGAACTCAGAGCCTTGCATTTGTTAAGCAGGCACTCTATCACTTGAAACACACCATCGGCCCCAACTCTTTCTCTTGATGTTTTCTGATTGTCTAAACTCTACATATTCTGTTTCTGCTACTTCTATAAGTTATTAAAACATGTATTATTTGATACAATATATTACATTGCAACTATTTACATGTTCTATCTTCCTTATCAGAATACAAACTAAAATATATTAGTCTTTGTGACATGCTGACCTGGATGAGGTTGGACTAATCGCATGGTTTAAAGACTAGTCCCTTTTCTTCTCAGCTTTTTGTTTTCAGTCCAATCCCCACCAAACTTATATTACATTATCTTGAGTATATCTACAGTGGCACCATTTAGAACTAAGTTTTTAACAAAAGCAGAGTTGCAGAGATATTTAGCAACATTTAAATTCAATAAGATTTCATGGATTATATGAGAACTGTATTTATTTGTTCTTTGGGGAAAATATACTTTAGTCTTAAGCAGGAAAAAAATGTATTTTTAAGTTGGGAGATACCATGTTAAAATTTTTCCCAGTTGGAATTAAAACATTTATTTTTTGCAGTAATTTGCTTAATTTTTACCCCTCATTAAACTAAAATCTCTGAAAATATAAGAACTCTGTAGGTTTTTGTTCACCATTAGCTATCATAATAAGCACATATAAGATACCTAACTGTATGAAAAAAAGGAAAACAGTGACATAAAAAGGGAAGAAAATATACAAAACGAATAGAGAAGAATCAATTTTATTAAATTTTACTAAATTTTTACATTGAAAATTTTTTTCAATGTAACAGATTTAGCTATAATTTCCATTGAAATAACTCTAAACCTCTATCTTAGAAATCTGTCTTCTCTAATGTCATATTTCCAACTCCTTCTGAACATCAACATAAATGTCCAGCAATACCTCGACAATCCATGTGTAAAAAAGTTCATTTTTGTCAAATTTTCTATAAATGAGGCACTTTTTTCTTGAAAATTAGAGATCAATAAAGAGGAGAAAATGCCAAGATCATAACCAATTGGGTAGCTATTGAAAACACAGCTGCCTTCCAATATTCCTGTGTCACTGTGGGGAGCATAAGGGAAAAGAAGAATCTTGATAATTGTTATTGGTATGATTTGAAAATGCATCTTAAGTGTCAAAAAGAATGCTGAGTATCATATCATCTTGTTCTTCATAAACTGTATCTTCTAAGAGATCATTATGCTGAAAACCTTAAAACAGTTTTAGAGATTATGTGGCTTTTGTCTCAATCCTCACATACAATCTTTCTGGTAACTTCTATATTTTGATATTATCTGATATTTACATCCAGAGATACCATTAAAAATTACTCTGCTCTTATCTTTATTACATACTAAAACTGCTAGAAAACATTTCCCTAGCATATTTTCTTCACTAGTCTATCAGGTACTCAATTATACTAACAGATGTTATATAAAAACAAAACGTATGCTCTTTATTGCAATGCCGCTCTATGTTGCAATAAAGACAGTAAAGTAAATACAATGGGGTGATGTATTTTCAGGAAATGGTGCAGGAACACCCAAATATCCACACATGTAAGAGTTGGTAGCCCCCCAAAACCTGAAGTTCCTCAAACTGGAAACAATCCACATTTAATGAGCAGATGAACCAATAAACAAATTATGGACTGCTGACAAAATAGAATACTAAGCAACATGAGGACTGAAATATTAATACACAGAAAAATACAAATCTCAAAACTTTATGCTACTTGCAAACAAAAGAATGGATAGTATATGAATTCATTCATTAAAAAGCTATGTAAAAGACCAATGTAATTCATACTGAAAGACAGGAGATCAGAGGTTGTCTCAAAGAACAATCCGAAAAAAGTACTTACTATGATAAAAATAAATAAACCTATAAAAAGGCAAAAATTGACTGTCCAAATAAATAATTATGCATAAAATATAAAATAATCTCAATAAAATTTTTAAAAAAGAACACACAGGTATACATATGGGGAAAATGGATGAATTGGAAGACAAACCTGAGGAAATCTTGAAATATGACAGTATAGAGAGATGAAGAGATGGCTGAATATTATGAGATATGGGTATATAATAAGATGGTTCAAATGTCTTAATATGTCTTCAGAGGAATATAAAAAGAAGGGAAAATTATTCAAAAAGAAAGCAAGAACTTTCAGAAATATTAAAACACAAAACTAGAGATTCAAGAAATAAAGAAATAAATATAAACTTAGACACCTCATAGGAAATTGCAGTACACCAAAAGACAAAGTGAAAAATTTAAACAGTACTACATAAACTGGAATAACAATTAGGATGACAACAAGTTTCCTGTCTGCAAAAATATAAATAGAAGAAAATTATGTTCTTTTAAGTGTCATAAGAAAAATAACACCCAACCTAAAAGTCTATCTAAAGCTACCTAAACCACCAGCCAAGAATATACATGAAGCCAGGCATATGTTGGTTTTGGTACTATTCATGGTTTTAGGTATCCACTGATGGTATAGGAATATATCCCCATAGATGGGGAGAAGGAGGGAGTACTATATTTGGTAAAACTGTCCTTCAAAAGTGAGGGAGAGCTCAGCACAGTGGCACACACCTGAAACTATCACTAGTCAGGAGACTGAGGCAGCAGGATCTCAAGTTCAAAGCCAGTCTGGACAATAGAGCAATACTGCATCTCAAAAAAAAAAAAAAGAGTGAGAAATTAAGACATTCTCAGAAAAACAAGATCTGAGTCTTCACTGCAAGAAATTGTCATGGGAGGCCTGCAACATGAAATAAAAGGCAACTGGACAGTAACATAAAAATGTATTAAAAATAAAAATCTGAATAAACAATTACACAGGCAATTATAAAAGCTAGTATTATTGTAACAATTGTTTATAACTCCATTTTTTGTTTTCTGAATGACTTAAAAGGGACTAATACACTTAAAAGAATTAATAATTCATGTTTAGGGGCGCATAAAGTATAAGCTTGGAATTTTATTGTAAAGTTGTAGAGAAGCACAGACTTTTGTATGTAATTGAAGTTATACTGGTATAAATTCAAATTGAAATATTATAACTCTGTTTAGTTACAAGTAATCTCCATAGTAACTATAAAGAAAATGGCTATAGAATATATACAAAAGGAGATAAAAAAGGAATTTTGATATTTCATTAAAAGATCAACTATGCAGGAAATGAGTCACAAAAAAAGCTATCAGTATAGGGAATCAATAGCAAAATGACAGAAGTAAATCCATCCTTATCATTGAATACTTTGAATGTAAATAGATTAAACTCATCAATCAAAAGACAGAAGTTAGCAGAATAAATAAAAATATAATCCAACTAGATTCTGTCTATAAGAAACTTTAAATCAATGGTAAAAATAAGTTGAAAATGATAGAACAGAAAAATATATTTCATGCAAATAGTTACCAGAAGAAAGTAGGATGACTGTATTAGTATCAGACAAAAGAAGCTTTAAGTAAAAAAAATTCAAAGAGGCAAAAGACACTGTATGTTAATAAAATGTTCAATAGATATAGTAATTACAAATATCAAAATGCAAGAAGCAAAAACTGACAGAATTGACAGAGAAATAGACAGTTCTGTACAATACCTGAAGGCTTCTGTAACATAACTCTTTTTTTGGTTTTTTGGTTTTTTAGCAGTACTGGGAAATGACTAAGGGAACTGAGTTTGTTAAGCAAGTGCTCTACAACTTTACCCATAACATCAGTTCTTTTGCTTTTAGTTCGTTTTTTGGGTAGGGTCTCAGACTTTTGTCCAGGCCATGATTCTCCTACCACCATCCCCTGAATAGCTGGGTATGGAGGGCCAATTCTGAAAAGCCTATGAGAACTGGACTTAAGCAAGGCAAGATGCGACTTAATTGCTTTCACCTGTAGGCTGAGATAGGCACAAAAAGCCAGAACAGCTGCATCTCCTAAGCTGTGTTCAGAGAAGCAGGAATGCAAGTTTCTCCTGTTACAATGTCATGCCCTTCCCCTGCTCCACCCTCTTTGCTGCTGTTTATAAAAGACCCCTGAAGGAGGAAGACAGGCTTTTTGCTTGTCTTTATGCTTTTTGCCTTTGGCTTTGGAGGGCTTTTTTGGGCTTCAGTGTTCTGGGACTTTGGCTTGGGCTTTGGCTTGATTCTTTTGCTTTTGACTTTCTGGTGTGGGAAGCTTTTGGAAGGGAAAAGAATTACTGAAGGGAAAAGAATTGCAGGGAAGTTGCTGAAGGGAAAAAGAGTGGCTGAAGAAGGGTTGATAGACAGTCTGCACTGAGAACTTTAACACAGTCCTTAGAAAGCTAAGCCAAAGAAAGAACTTTAACATAGGTTTTAGAAGCTAAAGAAAAGCCAAAGAGAACACGGGACAGTGCAAGATAGGGGACAAGACTTTGCAAGTCTGAGCAAGGAGGCTTTAAGAAAGCTAAAGAGAAAAGCTGCAAGCCTGGGGACAAAAGACTTTAAGACTGATTAAGCTAAAGATAACCTAAGAGAAAAACATGGGACAGTGTGAGTCTCAGAAAAGAAGTTTTAAGCAAGGTTTTAAAGAACTGCAAGGAGTAAGGCCTTAAAGAATAAAAACAGAGAAAGGAAGCAATGAGGGTTGGGCGTCTCCACCTGAGTGCCCAACACACCTGACCCCACTTTCTGTCTGTCTGTCTATCCTGTGTCTTTTCTGAATCTCCAGTCACTCCCCAGTTAAGCCCAGTTAGGTTCAGTAATAACCAGGAGAGAGGAAAACCTCACTCCAGCAAGGAAGAAAGCGTGAAAAAACAGCCCCTCCTTCAACTGGGATCATAGGCATGTACCACCACACCCAGCTTGTTTTAGAGATAGAGCCTCAATAACTTTTGCCAAGGCTAGCTTGAACTGCTATTTTCATATATCTGCCTCCCAAATAGCTGAGATTACAGATGTGAACCACCATTCCCAGCTATAACATACTCTTAATAATGGATAGAAGTAAGTAAACAGGACTTAACACAATAAGTCAGCTAGATTTAACACATATACAGAACTCCATGCAACATACAAATGACCAATAAGCATATAAATATGCTCAACATCATAAATCACAAGGGAAATGCAAGTCTAAACTACAGTGATATACTACTTAACACACATTATGATGACTATTATTTAAAAAAACAGAAAACAAATGTGGGCAAGAATTTGAAGAAAGTGGAACCACTGGGGACTGTTAGTGGAACACAGTATGATGGTTCTGCAAAAAATTAAAAAATACAATGACCATATGGTCCAATAATTTCATTTTTGGATTTATACCAAAAAGAATTGAAAACAGCTCCTTGAAGAGATATTTTACACCATGTTTATACTCACAATAGCTAAAATGCAGAAGCAACCCAAGTGCCCATTAGATAAATAAACAAAATGCAGTAAATACACACAACCAAATATTATTCAGTCTTAAAAAAGGAAAAGAAATTTTAATATATGCTATGATGTAGGTGAAATCTGAAGACATTATGCTAAGTGAAATAAGCCAGTTGCAAAAAGACAAATATTCCACATATATGAGTACTTAGAATGGTCAACATCATATAGGCATAATTGCCAGGGGTTAGGAAGAGAGGGAAATGGTTATTCTTCAATGAGTATAAAGTTTCACCTTTAAAAGACAAGAAGTTACAGATATGGAAGGTGAACATTATTAAACCACTAAAATGTACATGTAAAAATGATTAAGATGATAAATTTTATTAGTATTTTGCCACAATAAAAAAAATTTGGAAAAACTGAATATCATTTCTATCAATTGGAATCCATCAGAAGTTCTGAATTGCTCAAAAAGTATAAAATGATGTTAATAAATACTAAGTCTTCACAAAGATAGGATCAATTTATAGCAATTAATGTATCAGAATCTTTAACATAACCTAGCGAGACTTTCATAAAACTATATAAAAATTATTTTGTGTGACAAAATGAGAAGAAACTAAGTGCAACAATTTTTAACAAAAATATAAAGAACACAGACAATACCTTGGAAGCACGAATCTGCCTGTGAACATCTGTAAGCTGCTGGATTTTGTATTCTAGCTCTGAAATCTGGGCTTGGAGCCAAGTCCATCGGCTGCCAACACGTGCTCTGTCTATGAGCCACTTCCATTCAGTACTAGAGTTACTGTGAACAAGACAAACAGTGTTAGAATACAAAGGCAATCAAGGTTTCACAGAAACTGCTTAATAACTTCCTTGAATCCTGTCATAAAATCAAATTTCCTTTACAAAATATCTAATTACATGAAGGGAGAATGGCAGATTGACTTCTTATCAAAGAAAAAAAATTAATTTCCTTACCTTTCTACACCACAAATACTTGCTTTTATTTGATATCACATACCAAATGTAGGATAAGCCTCTGCAATTTGATACTTTATTAGTACTAAGTGCTTAAATAGGGTGGACAAGCAAAGAAAAGGAAACATAAATTACAATAATAACACAATGAAAAGTATGTTACATAAAGCTTTTATATGTAAGTAGATGTCAAATATTGGATAAGCCATTTGAACTATATCTAAATTCATATAATAAACTGCATTGTACTCAATTTAACTGTATGTAATTTTCACTTACTAAAACAAGCATCACTATTAGCTACCTACTACTTAAAATCAATTTAAAGTCATTGACAAAATTATTAAGACTGAATCCTTTGTTACATTTCAAATAATAATGTCAAACATATAATAAGCAATTTGTTAAAAATCTGATTCCCAGGATTCAAAACCCAGAGATCACATAAAGCCATTCATATGTGAATGAGTATTTCAATATTTGAATATCCAATATTGTATATTTGAAAATAAAGATTGAATCCTACCCCCACTAGTTGCTCTACATTTAGCAAGAGCACTGTTCTAATCCATAGTTTGGGGATTGCAAATTAATTGCTTTATAAAAATAGTCCAGCTACTTCAATTACCAAACAGTTGTTTGGAATTACAGATGAGGTGTGTGTGTGTGTTTGTGTGTGTGTGTCTGAGAGAGAGAGAAAATATTAGGAGATGTAGTCTGCTAAAGGACTAAATATATAACAAGCGCAGTAACTACTTAATGGCAAAACATGAACTTTCAAAAAAACTTGTATAAAATGCACAACCAATGTACACCACAGTAAGCCATAAAATAAGTTATGAGCTTTGGCTAATAATTGCATGTCAATGCGGGCTAATCAATTAAAACAATGTATAAATGTTGACAGTGATGGAGGGTGTACATTTGTGGTACAAACAGGCACATGGGAACTCTGTAATTTTCACTCAATTTTGCTGTGAACCTACAACTGTTCTAAAAACTAAAGTTTATATAAATTAAAAAATGAATTTTACAATGTATGCACATGTGAGTAAATGTAAAAACAATGAAATGAAAAAAAGTGAATTTAACCACTAAAATGTCTTTCATATAAATCTTACCCAAGGAAATACTTTATCACTGCTATCAGAAGCAATTACTATGACTTTCTCAAATACAATTTAATCACTGTAACAGAATTTTAAATCAGTATTTCCAAAATGATATTTTTAAAAATTCTAATTGCATATAATGGGATTGAACAAGTGGAGATAGTATAGCTGTAACATCACACTACTATAGACAGTAGGAGAATCATGCCCAAACCACATTGGATTTTATGTAAGCCACAAATAGATCTTTGCTGTGTTAAAACATAGAGATAAGGAGGCTAATCTTTGACCCAATATAGACTATTTTGACTAAAACACTGAATATGAGAATGGTCTGGATGAGAAAGAGGAGAGAGGATGAAGAAGATAGAGTGTGTAAGGTTCATTTCAAAGTTGACGGGACTTGCAGGAGTATGCAAGTAAGCACGGCAAATCAAAGATGATCTTAAACATTCTTCCACTATGTTTTGCTCCAGTTGGAAATTTTCCCCATAAAATGCAATTTGGCCTAGTATCAAATTGATGATTAATGATCAAATATAACAGAGAAAAAATAAATTTTCATTTCTTCTTCATATTGCACTTCTGACAAAAATATTCTGATACTGACATTAGAATCACAAGTAATTTTTATGCTCATACAATTACATTAATACTGACATAGAGAAACAGCAAAAGTAGTTTAAATAAACTAAATCATGCTGAAGCTTTATGATGTATCAAATGAATTATTTTATAAAGGATAATTTATTCTATACCTTAAGAGAAGTGAATAAAATCTGTTCACTGTGCTTAAAAGTGGTAGTAAACTTTCTCACTAAAAATGTTCCTTTACTTGAAAACATGATTTTCTTAAGGATAATTAAGGTTGTAGATGTGTAATAAGTAAGCATATGGCTTACTTAGTCAAATGAGATTAACACTTGTACCTAAAGTCAAAACATGTTTTACGTAAACAACTTACATAGCCAATGATGCAATGGCTAACATATCTTGCAGTGCAACCAGTAAGAATGTAGCTGATGCAACAGTGAACCTGTGAGGTTTGAGGCAGACACAGAGTACCCAGATACTAGGCTTACCACAGAAGCTTCGTCTGCCAGACCACTAACAACAATGACTCCCTGCATCTATGGAGCATGCTGACTATAAGGTGGGATTCCTACCTCCAGTAAAGATCAGAGCAAAGCCATCTGTGAGTGGAGACTACATGGGCAGGACATACCAGTTAGTCCCCCCAAGAGTTAGCATATGCCTTCAGTCCCCATCCTTGCTTGCTTGTAGACCACGTAACTTGCTGAAGGAAATAAGTACAAGCTGGTTAAGTAGAGTGTAGCTTCTCTTAGTATTAAATCCTTGCTAACACCTTGAACCTACATTTCTGCTGTGACTTTGAAGTGTGGTTCCTTGGAGTGAGTCAGAGCTTCCCAAAACTATATCAAGACTTGAAGCGAGACATGTATAATTCAATTTTGTCTTTAAAACAGATTTTGTTAGCTCATTAACATAATGAATAAACTATAGCTATAAAAATCAAAAGAGAAGAAACAGCTATGAAAAATGGTAATTCCAAGAAAAGTAAAGTTTGTCTTGTAAAAAATAAACTGGGCCAAACTGATCCACCAATATTTGCTCACCTATAAAAAACTTACCCTTACCTAGAATTGGGTTCCTTTAGATCAAGGGTTGGCAAACTTTTTCTATAAAGAGCCAATAGTAAACTTGGTTTAGTGGCTTACTTCTGTAATCCCAACTACTTGCAAGACAAAAGCAAGAGGATCATGGTCAGAGGCCAGCCAAAGCAAAAAGTACAAAACCCCATCTGAAAAATAACTAAAAGCACAAATGGCTGGGGAGAGGTTTGGCTTAAAGTAGTAGAGTAATTGACTATCAAGCACAAGGCCAGAGTTCAAACCTCAGCAACTTGAAGAAAGAAAGGAAAAAAAAAAAGGCAGATAGTGGTATTTTAGGTTTTGTGTGCCATATGGTCTCTCTAACAAGTAGTCAACTCTACCTTTGTAGCATGACAGCATCCATAGATAAAACATAAATGAATGAGTATGGCTGTATTCCAAGAAAACTTTACTTACAAAAATAGGGAGAGGTCCAGATTTGGTCCATGGGCCCTAGCTTTCCAACACCTGGTAAAGATCATCTTCCCATATGCATCTCCTGCTTCTGAAAGGATTATGACTTCCTTTGAAAACATTCCTGTGCAATATTTTGCTCCCATTCATCTTATTAATACAAGTCCTGTATGAGACCATATATACTGCAAACATTGCCCCAATCTGTACTTTGCCTTTCATTTTTGCAATGGTGTCTTTTGGGAAGCAAATGATTCTAACTTTGATGAGCCCCAACTTAATCAAAGTTTTCCTTTTACGGTTTTTCCTTTTATGGTTAGTTCTTTTTGTATGCTAAGAAACTGAATAATGCAAAGTCATAAAGATGGTTCTTAAGATTCTAAAATTTCAAGATGTAATATTTTTAGCTTGTGTGTGTGCATGTGTGCGTGTATGTGTGTCAGGGTCTTGCTTTGTAGTTCAAGGCAGGCCTCGAACTTAAGATTTTCCTGACTTAGTCTCCTGAGTGCTGGATTGCAGGCATGCACAACCACATCTGGCTGAGTTTTATCTTTTAGACCTATGGTGCAATTCAAGTTAATTGTGCGTGTCATATGAGGTAAGGGTCCAAATTCAATTTTTCATAAAATACTCAATTTCTGAACCCTGGATGAAGGGATTCGATTTTCCTTTAATAGACAGCTCCATTTACCTACTATCATTTGATAGAAAAATACTAGTATTGAATAAAAACTATCACTGAATACTATATTTGTTCCATTCTTATACATCCACCTTGAGATTTCTAACATCAATGTCAATCCCTTAGATCAGTAATAGCACACTATTATAGCTTAGAGTAAGTCTTAAAATCCATTAGTGTAAATTCTCCATCTCTGTTCCTTCTCAGTACCATTTTGACTAATCTGAATTTAAGAGTGCACCTGTCAATATCTTTATATATAAAAAATAGCATTTCACTGAAATTGCATTGACTCTATAAATCTATTGGTGGAGAATTGGCATCTTCCAATCAGAGTATATGGTTTATTTCCCTGTATATTTTCTTACTGTTAATTTCTGTCAGCTAGGTCTTGTATAGTTTAAAAACTTATCTCTATGCATTTCATATTTATAGATGATGGTATACAGTATCCACAAGTACTTGGATATTAACATATAGAAATAGAACTGATTTTTGTATGTCTACCCTATATAACATGACCCAGCTAAATTTGCTTATAATTTTAGGTTTTCTTGTAGCCTTTAGTGTATTGCTAATTATAAATCGTATTAGTGGACATCATAACCTTCTTACAAATCTTACAAAGAAGGCACTCAGCCTTTTATCATTAAAAATGTTAGTTGTAAACTTTCTGTAAATGTCCTTAATTGGACTGAAGAACTCTGCCCAATCCCGGTTTGTTGTCAATTCTTATAAGTGGGTTTGAATTTTATCAGATTTTTTTTGTTACCTACAGAAATTATCATATTGTTTCTCTTTTTATATTTGATTCTTAAATATTAATTTTGCTTCCTGACATAAATGTGCATAACCATGATCTATTTTTATACTTTGCTAGATTCTGATTAAGGATTTTTGTGGCTATAGTCAGAAATATAGATCTATTCTCTTCTAATATCTT